GCATTGGTCTCTGGGCGTGGAAGGAGTACAGTACGGTGCTCAAGGCCACAACGGACGTCTCCAACATCAAGTACCCTTTAACTTGTCTTGAGCGGTCGATGGTTCATACTTGACTAGCTTTGAGCTCGAGCCGAGCAGCGAGCCCGACCTCGTCGACCAAGACCGCGGTCCGATCTACATCATCCGCCACGCGCTCAACCACCTGCGGGTACGGCATCCCGCTCACTGCCCAAAGCATGCACTCCATCTGCGTGCAGGAAGCCAACACGGAAGACAGTATTCGCTGCATGCAGAATTTCTCCACCGATGAAAAGTTTCAGCTCGCGCGCCGCCTCATTACGTTGCGGCAGTCGGGGCTCGAGAGGTGCGGGGACTACTTGCACGCAACCTGAATGGCACGTTTTCATAGCTTTTTCCACGGCGATATTGACCGCGTGGCGGCGCAAGCCGTGCTTTTGCCGGTACGTTTCGCCTTGCTCGACATGAACAATATGACAATTTTCTCTGCAATATTAGGTGGGGACCCCGGGTGCATTCTTGATCCGGTACAGTGCCAACCAAAAGAGCTATTGCGCGTCCTTTATCGACAAGATCGTCGATGGCCAGCCGCAAATCAAGCACAACGTCATCTACCACCTGGAATCGGTACGCAGGAAGAATTAGCGCGAGACTTATGCGAGTAGGGGGCGTACTCGGCCGTGCAACCCAAGGACGTGCAGCCAACGACGCCCATTTTCTCGGATCTGCTCAGCTTCGTCGAAGCGTACCAGCGCAAAGGTGTGTTGCGCACGGCCATCCCCAAAGGGTTGGCGTGACCACGGCCCCAACGTCATCTCTGCATTTCCAATGATCAATCCAAGCAAGTACGACGACGCGAGTCTACACGTCAAATACCAATACATGTAGTATACTGCCTGCATGACCTTGTACCACAGGTCGCTCTACCAGCACGTACATCGTCATGGTGTTGACAAGGCACACAACCCTTGGCGTTAGCATGGTGCTCAGCCCCTCGCAAGAACGATGGTCATTGTAGACGTAGAGACCATCACTCCTAGCACCTTGCACCTCAGGTGGTTCTGGTCCAGCAAGTACGTGAATCATCGTACGAAGCCTGCACAAACAAACGCTCTATCCCCTTGAACGCAATAGATACTGTATCATAAATGCGTTGGAATAGCGTATGGACGAGTCTGCGTGTGTACTCTGGCTCCCTGTCACCACGTCCAGGGTTGTACTGAGACGCTCGGTACAACCCCAGACGTCTGAGACAGGTCGCTCCTTACTATTTTTTGACACGACGACGGCGCATTGCTCAATTGACCATGGTGCAGTCGGTCATTGTAGTCGGTGGTGGCTACTCGGGCATTGCGTTTGCCCAAGCCCTCGCGTCCGAGCTCCCACCCCACGTGGCTGCAATCACCGTCATCGACAAGAACACGTTTACGTTCCACCACGATGCGATTCCGCGCGCTTTCGTCGAACGAGCCTTTGTGCCCAAGCTCTTTGTGCCCACGGACCACGCCGTGCCACAGTACACCACCATCGTGCATGGGCTCGTCGACGCCGTCACCAGCAAGAGCGTTCATGTACGCAATCTCGTCAACGGCCAGCTCGACGAGCACTCGCACCCACTGCACTACGACTACCTCGTCCTCGCCACAGGCAGCAGCTACCCCGCACCCATCAAGGTCCCTAAGGACGTTTACAGCAGCGACGCCATTGCTAATGCGATTTACGAGGCCCACGATCACATTGCTGCAGCGTCTAGTGTGCTCGTCGTCGGGGGCGGCAGCGTCGGGTGCGAAGTTGCGGGTGAGATCGCAGTGGCCTACCCGACGACCCAAGTCACTCTTATCGATGGCCACGAGCACTTGGTTGCTGGCGCGAAAATGACCTCCGAGTTTCGCTGTCGATTGAAGGCGGCGCTGGAAGCCATTGGTGTGCGCGTAATCTTGGGCGAGCGCCCCGTCGAACCGCTTCGAGCCCAGTCGTACACGCGGCAAACGACACTTCTCTCAAGAGGCACGGTGGTCACGGCCGATGTCCAGCTCCTCTGTGCTGGCATGGCCCCAAACACAGATCTGATTGCGCAACTGGATCCAGATCTGGTCACACCGGCCGGTATCAAGGTCAAGGCCTCGATGCAGCTCGACGACGATCGCTACACCAACATCTTTGTCCTCGGTGACGCGAGCAACCACCCGTCGCCAAAGACAGCCCACATTGCGGGCGACCAAGCCGAGTTCTTAGCCGCGGGCTTAGCCCAAAAGATGCTACACGGGACACCGATTGGTGCGTTCGATGCAGGGCCCACGGAAGGCCTCATGATCCCGGTTGGTCCCGAGGGCGGCGTCGCGCAGCTCCTCAACGGCGTCGTCGAAGGCGCATGGCTCGTGCAAAGGAAGAAACACAAGGATTACAACACGCAACGACTATGGTCCCACTGGAATGCGACGCTTCCAACGATGTAAGAGCTATTGACAACCTGTCCAATACACCATTTTTGAATATTCCTTTTTCCAAACCTTGGTTTGGATCGTTCCGTGCACGTATCGTCGTCCTCCATTGCACGTATAGTCGTACAGCTGTGCTTTGTGCAACAAAGGTATCTATCTATCTATCTATCTATCTATCTATCTATCTATCTATCTATCTATCTATCTATCTATCTATCTATCTATCTATCTCGAGATCGATCCGGTCGTGCCTGGAGAGGAGGCGGGCAGCCTTTTCTGTGGTGTATCCAATCAAAATGCTTGAACCTCCCGAATTTGCACCAATCCCCATCGCACAAATTAAAAACCAACGACGACAAAATAAAAAAAATGAACTCGGCACTTTCAATACAAATACAGAGCTATTTTAAAAGCGTACACATTTTATTTTAAAGGTGGCGACGCATTTCGGAGCTGCCAGGAACGTGTCCGGAACACCGGACCGGCATCATGGACCCGCGAGCCTCCGAATTGCTCAAGCCGGACTTGGGCCCGTTACCACTCGACGCAGCCTTCGGCGACGAGAGCTCGCTGCACGAGCCGGCAGCGAAGCGGCCCAAGGCGACCCCCTTCCACGACGCCCATGGCCCGCCCAAGCGAGGTAGACGACATGCTGCTTTCCATGCGCCATGGACGCTGAGTGTGATGCGGTAGTGCAATGCTTGGACCCGGAGCACATGCGGCAAAAGACCGCCAAGTGCGCGGTCTGCGCCATCTGCCGCTTCTGCCCCGCCGGCCGCGACGAGTGCTTTGCCAACCACCGCGTCTTGCGGCCGATGATCCAGCGGACTCGCCCGCCCCGCGCCAAAGGTAGTACATACGACAGGTCGCTCGCGACGGAGCTAACGCGGCGCGACAATCGACTAGTTTACCTCTGTGACGATCAAGAGCACCATCAAAAGAAGACGCACCGCGGCCGATGCGAGCGCTGCCTCAAGTGCAAGTGGTGCCCGCCGCTCGTCGAGGAGTGCAAGGAGTTCCATGTTGACCCCGAGACGTGCACGACACCATGCTCAAGTATGTCTACAAACGATGATGGTGTCTCATGCAGTGCATCGTAGTCGAACGCCAAGAAAAGACGGCCCGCCTCGAGTCGCTCCTTGCGATTCTCGGCGTCGACGAGCACAAGGCGCAGATTATCAAGGCCAAGGACCTCCACGGACCCACAATCAAACGGCGCCAGGCGAGCGACCTCCTGCGGCAAATCGTACATCTCATTGCCGACCTTGTCGTCGAGTCGTCGGACAAGGCCGATGGTGGCGCCGCAGTCGCCCAGCTCCTGGACGATCTCGCGAGCGAGCTCGAGGCCAACCCGATTCTCCAGCCGCATCCAGACGACGTATCGATGGACGCGCTGCAGGCTACATCGCAGGCTGTCGACCTCTCGACGGAGCATGGCGCGTCGCTCGTTGACGCGACTCACCACTTGGCGTTCAACATTTAAGAACGACCCCACTCAATCTACTTTTTGTCTCGTACGCCACGGACCCTGTAGCGTTCGATGTCGCGACTGCCGTAACATATAACACACCCACGAGTCTACTACATATTGTACAATATTGCACTAGGAAATACATCACTTGGCTACTACGTCGCTGTGCATCATCATCGGCAGCCAGAGGACCAAGTGCAACCTCGCATGGCGATCTTGGTTGTCCATTTTAGCCAATCCCATCACGTCATTTGAAACGGGCACGTTGGATTGGCTGTTTTTCATGTCCGGGCGACCAGGCAAACGGTGCGTAATTTTTTCTTGATTGAAATGCCTCCTTTCGTCAAATGTTTTATACTGCATACACAACCTAAGGTATAGTATACATTTCAAGAAAATGGGTGAATATTAATATCTTAAAGGGTATAACTCCGGCTTTTCGGCCGTCAACGTCAATTTGCCGGTCCAGAATTCGGAGATGGAATCGCTTGACCCGAAGCGGTACTTTGAGACCGAGCCGCCGGCGCCCACGTCGTACGTCGAGGCGCTAGCGCTCGAGGAAGACGACGACCACGACCACGACCACGACCACAGCGCCAAGGACGATATTGACGACGGCTCGCCCAAGGCGAAGAAGGCCAAGCTTGGCCCACCGCTGCGCCGGCAAGTCTACTCCAAGAAAGGTACGACGAGCATTTCCATGGACATGGCCAACCACCTCGATTCAGTCAAGTGCGTGGACGCAGAGCACGTGCGCCAAAAGACTGCAAAGTGCACAGTCTGCGGCGTCTGTCGCTTCTGCCCTGCTGGCGCCGACGAGTGCGCCGCCGCCCACCGCGTGCTCCGCCCGATGACCAACAAGACGCGCGCGCCGCGTGCCAAAGGTATACCATCCATGCCTTTTACAAAGATAAGAACGGATT